AGAAGCATTGAGATTAGGAAGGCTTCCGCGATTGAGGAATCTTCATCTGCGGGAAAAGCAAACGAAAATGAGATTAAACAGTGATTTCTGATTCTTGTATTTGTGAATATCTGCTTAATATTTATGCGTGTAACTATGTATGCGTGTATATAGTTTATGTCTGTCATATATTAGCTATTTGTATGGTAGAATCTGCGTTTTGTATTGTAGAATGTGCGTCCACTGCTACTTAGTTATATCTGTATATTTATGTTGTTTATGCAAATAAATCTCCGATACTCAAACGTGTTGAACACACAACAAACCATTTTGAACACAATGATGCCTACATTCGCAAAAATACGTCGGATATTATTTACAAATTGCTTCAAATACTGTAGTCCGACAATGCATAGAAATTTTCTTATTTGAGGACGTGGCCTGAGATTATAGATGAGCTTATAGGCTTCTCTAAAGCTGCAATCGCCATATATGAACAAATCTCTTTAGTACTGAGGTAACTTAAAAACTTGAATCAGAGTGAATAACGTTCTCCAGGCTGAGGAGAATGTATGAACCCAAAAAACTTTACTTTTACTAACTGGCTGGGTTATCACGAAATTATCATTCAAAGTATATTTAAAATTCCATGGATTGAAGAAAATTTGTAAATTTATGGATCGACATGGTTCTTCCTTTCTATGCTGCAGTGGTAGTCCACATGAACATTTTTGTAGAAAAATAACAAGATGTGTTTATTGCAAATTCGCAAGGTTTTCTACTAAATCAGTAATTTCTCATGAGGGAACATATTTGTCTATATGAGATGTACACTGTTAGGCAAGGTTAAAACGCTGATTCCAAAACCTGCTTTCGGTATCTGCAGAGCATGTCACTAGAAAGAGTTTTAAATTTTTTGCTGGAAGCTGCTTGAACGAGCTGTTAGCAATTGCTTTAGAGCTAAAATTTTGGCCCAGAATAAAATGTTAGCGTTTCTAAAAATCGGATATCTTATCAACAAGGAGCTTTCAATTTGTTAATTTAGTTGAAAGCTGTAATTTTATTCGATGCCGTTTTCGTAGAGAAAAAAACATTGATAATTCCTTTTAAAGTCGCACATAATGAAGGCATTTGAAATCAGAGTCTTGAACTTCGTCTACTGATGCTCATCTAAACTTAAAGTTCCTCGACATAAGTGCTTCCTTGTCAAATTACGGTACTATGTGACCAGTCTGACTTTGAGCTTTGGAATGATATTTTTACATAAATTTTGTTTTGAAATGCTGTCTTGAAATTGCTTTGCAAGTTTTGTGAACGTTCAGAGGTATCCTCTACATTTGTGAATAAGAATTGTTGCGTTATTACTCCTTGTTTTGCATATCAAATCAAATGCTGTAGTATCTAAGAACGGTTATCAATTGAGATTCCTTGAAGCAATTGGCAAAGTCGGTAGATGAACAAGGCTTAATAGAGCAGAGCCCTGGAATTTACACTTTGGGGATACTGTCAAAAATGGAGATATAGAAGCTGTTGATGGAAAATGTGAATCAGTAAGTGAAACTTTCCAAGCATGACGTTAACCAGTTGAGAAGAGAGCAAATTCCTTTACAAGTAACAGCTTTCTAGCCAAATTATTAAGTACCAGTCGAAACGTATTTCTTTCTTTGTGCACCCTTGCACTTTAGCTGCATAGAGACATTTGGAGAGATTAATTTTTGCTTATGAGTTTTTTCCGTGGATCATTCCCCTCTTCAGCAAGCATTCATATCGTAATGCGGCCAAAATAAGGTGAAAATCTGAACAAAAACAAAAAACAGAAACAGCTTCTTCCAGAACCCTAAGTTTCCTTTTAGAATAAAAGGCATGAACTTGTAAAAAACGGAGGAGGGTTGAGGTACAGAAATGTGTCGTGCTCGAAAACTGTGAAGTTACACACAATGTTCTCAGCAGCAAATGCTGGTGTTGTATAAAATAGTATTGTGGGTTTGACATGAAGCTCATGTCAAAGTTCGAAAATGTAAGGTATGTTTTATTACCGAAAAGCTCTATTGGAGTAAGAAGTTGCAAAATCCAATAAAATTCTAGATCTATGTGCT